CTGGTCTACATAGTGAGTTCCAAGCCATCTGGGGTTAGAGGGAGACCCTGTTTCAAAAAGACTCCCCCCTCAAAAAACCCACTTAGTTTTAAATATTTACAAAATGACACTCCTGAGCTGGGCATGGTGGTGCACACCTTTAATCCTAGTATTCTGGAGGCAAAGGCAGGTGGATCTCTGAGTTTGAAACCAGACTGGTCTACAAAGAAAGTTCTAGGTCAGCCAGGGCTACATAGTGAGACCCTGTCTCAAAAACAAACAACGAAAACAAAACCCCCACCTCTAACTCTAACATATTGCTTGCTTTGTCCAAGCTTTGTCTATATATATATATTATAGCAACGAAGTAAATTCAGTTGTTGTGGGTTTTTTTGTCTTTTTGAGACAGGGTCTCCCTGTAGTCCCAGCTGACCTGAACTCACTATGTAGACCAGGCTGGCCTTGAACTCACAAAGATCTACCTGCCTCTGCTTCCCAAGTGCTGGGACTAAAGGCGTGCCCCACCACGCCCAGCCGTAAATTCAGTTTTCTACAAAAAGCTGTACATTTAATGAATTTTTTTATATTTTATTTTTTTTTATTTTATGTGTATGAGTGCATTGCCTGCATGTAAGTGAGTGCACCTGTGTTGTGCAATACCACAGAGGTCAGAAGAGGGCTTCGCATTCCCCAAGAACTGGAGTTAAGGATGGTTCTCAGGTGCCATGTGCGTGCTGGGAATTGGCTGGGAATTGAACCTGGGTCCTCTGCAAGAGAAGTCAGTGCTCTTAACCACTGAGCCATCTCTCCAGCCCCATGAATTGTTTGTTTTTTTTTTTTAAAGATAGGCCTCTCAGCCAGGCGTGGTGGTGCACATCTTTAATCCCAGCACTGGGGAGGCAGAGGCAGGTGGATCCTTGTGAGCTCAAGGCCAGCCTGGTCTGCATAGTGAGTTCCAGGACAGCTGGGGCTACAGGGAGACCCTGTCTCAAAAAGACCAAAAAAAAAGGTCTCTCCCTAGCCAAGGCTGGCTTTTAACTTGTGACACTTTTCTTGCCTTGGCTTCCCAGGTGCTGGGATGACAGGTATGAGCCACTAGGCTGACTTGAAATTAAGTTAAATGGAATAAAGAATTCCTACTGTCAACTGTAAAAGCCCTTAAAGGCCTAGAAGACACTAAAAGCCATCTCCCAGGACGGCATGGGAGTCAACCTCGTCTTCTTTCCTTTCGTTTTCCTTGAGAACCAGAAAGAAGATTAAATAAATAGATGATTTCTGATGAATTCCACTGTCTGCCCCTATAGTTCCCTAGTACTTGGCACTGTTTTACAGTCTTATGTCATTTTATCTAATCACATTTCCCTCTGTGGGCAGTAAGTACACTCCTGGTTCGGAACAGCAGACTGTCAACAGAACATTCAGAACACAAAGGACTGAGGCTTCACCTGCCTGTGCTTGTCAGAGTAACCCGGCTGGTCTGTAGTCCTGACCTGTTGGCCTTTTCAGCCCTAATCCAATGGAATCTTGAAACCCTTGCTGTGACAGCTGTCCTCCTCCACCTAGGGAGGCCAGCAGGTCTGCCCTATGGGAGTGACTAAGAGGGCCGCAGCCCTTAGGATGGGACCCTGGCCCTGTCTTGAGTTCCCTTGGGGTTAAGGAAGCTCAGGCCAGCTGCAGAACAGTGCTGAGCTGCAGTCATACCTGGGACCCCAGAAAAGGTCCTTCATGTGGACACCTGTATAATGCATATACCAGTGAGCAGAGATGTGCAGGCCACAGCACAGGATATCCAGGATATCCAGAGCACATCATCCAGGATATGCATGACAAACGTATGATTATTCAGAGCTCATCTTGGACTAGGGTGGAAAGAGGAAGCTTCACAGTGGGAGGTGGAGCACCTTCCACCAGGCCTCCAAGGATTCAGGGGTGGAGCTGCATAGGCATGTTCCAGGCCTCACCCAGGTGCTTGTTAAGAATGCACCCCCAACACAGATCTCTGGAGAACAGCCCAAATATCTGTTCACAAGTTTCCCAGGTGACCACATGCCCCGATTGAGAAGCCAGTGAGTCCCCAGCTGTGGGTTCTAAGTTACTGAAGTTGCAAGTCCTGCGGGCCTTGATATCCCTGTTCATACTGTGAAGCAGAAAGCAGAACTGGTGGCATGTGTCGGTGGCAGAGAAATGTCCACTGCCATTCGCTGCTGCCCATGTGCTGCTGGATGTTAACTTCAGTATTTGTCCATTTTTAGCTTCCACAAGAGCCTTTAGGAGGTACTCATTTTAATGTTCCACTTTTTTTTCTTTTTTAAATATTTTATGTATTATTTTTATTTTATATGTTTGTGTGTATTGCCTGCATGTAGGTAAGTGCACCTGTGTCGTGCAATGCCCGAGGAGGACAGAAGAGGTTGTTGGATCCCCTGGAACTGGACTTACGGACAGTTGTTAGCTGCCATGCAGGTGCTGGGATTCGAACTCGGGTGTTCTGCAAGAACAACCAGCGTTCTTAACTGCTGAGCCGTCTCTCCAGCCCCAATGTTCTGCTTCTAAACTGGAGCAAATAGAGGTTCAGAGCAGCCTGCCCGAAATCTTGCAGCCAGTTAGTGGTAGATCTTGATGTGTAAGAGCTAAAGGAAAGGCCCAAGCTGTGGATACACAGCACTGTTGAGTGACTCTGGGTAGTGGTTAAGCTAGGCTTGGCTGCTTGTGTTCACTGCAGGAGAGCTATTCCTGCCTGTTTATGCCAAAACCTACCCCTCTTTTTATTTTATTAAGGTCTAATAATCTGTTGTACTTTTGGCTAGCCTTAGGCACATCTGGATCCATCCCAAAGTCTCCTCCTCTAGACTGTACACTGTGTAGAGAAGTTGGAACATCCCCTTTCTGCTGCCAGGACACAGACTTTCTCTCTTTCACAGTAACTGGCCCAAACCACCCTGAAGAATGGATCCTACTTAATTCCTTCCCAGAAAATGAAACTCTCTCACACAAGGACTCCTTTGCATAAGAGAATGCCTATGATAGTGGAGTTCATGTCCAAACCACGAGATTTTTCTCTACTCCCTTTGTTTACATCCCAAGTCTCTTTATTTCACTTGAGAGGGATGCTTCCACTTGACTCTACACCCCTCGGTGCACCCAGCAGCCCCTCAACAGATACCAATAGAACTTTACCTGCTGGAGCTTGAGGAAGAATCAAGAAAACACCAAGATCCTGTGATAGAAACTTCAGGACAACTTAGGAGTTAGAAATGAAGGGCATCCACATGCATGGGGTAGGTGGGTGGGAATCCCATTCACCTTTGTTTTGTTGGAAAGTGCCAGCTTCCGTCTGAGCAAGGCACATTTTGGCCCTGTACCATGAACCACCTGAAGGCATGGCTGGGTGGAGTTAGGCTTCTCTGGGGCAGGTTTGATGTTTATTGCGCTGGGAGGCACTGGAGCTCTGGAAGGTCCTAAGAAGGTGCCTTGGGAACTTTAGACTCCCTCCTCTAGCATAGAGAATGCAAATTGCCACTTGGCTTGATGACCTGTAATTAATCTTATCTCAGTGTTCAACCCATAATTAATGCTGGGGTTTTGTTTTGTTTTTGAAAATGGAAATTGAGTATCCTGAGAAGTGAACTCATTTCCATCCTGACAGGTGAAGTCAAAGCACAGTTTCTGTAGTAATTTTCCTTAGAATGTGCTGATGGGTGTTAAACAGACTTGGGTAGAGTCCCGGGCATTTCCAGAGGAGGGCATTTCCAGAGGGCCGGGGTGGTTGTATGACTAATCGTTATAATTACTTGCTTGTTCAGATACTGGTTCCCCTGACTACAGAGACAGTTTGTGAGAAGAAAAATGGAGATTTGATCAGAAGTTTAAATAGAAATGGTTCTCGCTCTCTTTTTTTCCTTCAGTTTTGGGGATGGAAACAGGGCCTGGCAGCATATCTTAGGCAAGCGCTCTGCTACTGAGCAACACCTCCAGCTCAGAAACATTTAAGGGAAAAAAAAAAAAAAAAAGACAAAAAACAAAACTAGGGACAAATAGAATTATCAGAGAGGAAGCAAGAATGTAAACAGAAAGTGGACCAGGATGGCCACGCTGCCTCTGAGGCATGGGGGATGGCAGGCTGTGGCCTCACAGCACAGCTGGGTTCCAGGGTGTCATACAACCTGCCACCTGCTCAGCCTGCAATGACAGCACTTATGTGCAGAGGAAGGCTTCTGGGCTTTTTCTATCCATGAGCAAATTCAAAGGCAGCCAGGAGGAGGTCTGCGCTGTAACACTGACCTCCTTTGCCATCTTCCTACCCAACAGGATAAAAATATCTTTTAAAAGAAAAAAGCTTTCAAGAGAAAATTCTTAGAAACCAACCTCTTAACTTTACATCTACATCCCAGGATCAGCTTGCTCTCTGCCATTGTTATGGGCAGGCAGGTATTGGTAGAAAAGCCAGCGAGGACTCTGGAGGATCAGGGGGAGTCAGGGCGACACTCTAAATGATGGGGGTAGAGGGCGGAGTCAGGGTGTCAGGAAGGGTCCCAGGCTAGGTGCCTTCTGGACTCACCGGCCTGTAACTGGAAATCTTCCTCTCACTGGGAGAGACAAGGGATGAGTTGAAGAAAGGGAGCCACCTGTCACCTGTTTTGTGGCTTCAAGGGGCTGTACCTATATTCCAGGTACTGTGATCATGGGTGGGGGTGCAGTTGATCCCCAGAAAATCAAGCTGGTGGAGAGAGCACACCTGGGAGAAGTAGTCTGATGTCTTAGGTAGCCAGAGGGATGCCCAGAGCAGTTTATTTTGTTTTATTTTTATCAAGTTAGAAAGTACTAGGGGGATATTTCAGGAAACTAGAGATTTATAATGGCTCAGACAAAAATAGAGACTAGGGTATTGTCCTTCCAGGAGCAGCTCATCATAGCTGCTAAGAAACAGAGAAGATGCCTTAGGGGCTGAACCCCGAGGACCTTGAAAATACACATTGCCCCCAAATGCACCAGCCCACACATGTTTTCCATCCTCCCTGCAGGGTGTCCAAGAGAGAAAAACAAACCAAATCTAGAACACATTGTTTGGCTGACAATGACTGTGGCTGCCTTCTCCCTTCCCCAGGGTTCATCTTCTGGGATGGTCCTTCCCCTACATCACCCTCATCCCTGGATTTAAGTGTGAGTAAAGTATAGTTGGTGCTGATGAAGAGAAGCAGTTATGACAGATTGGGAGAGGGGGAGCAGGAGCAAGTCAGACCCTGTGGAAAATACGCCATTGATGTAGGCCAGAGGTCCTCTCAAACAACACAATGACATGTGGCCAAGTTCAGATTTAACTTAGTTTTGTCTGTAACTGTATTGATATTTCAGCCTCTCTCTCTCTCCTTCCCTCTCTCTTATAAATATATAAAGACCTGATAAATTGTTACTTATGATGAATGAGAGAATATGTGATTACTTTAAAAGTTTATCAGGGCTGGGGCTATAGCTCAGTGGTAAAGTGCTTACCTAGCATGTGTGAGGTCCTGGTTTGATCTCCAGCACCACCAAAAAAAAAGTCATTATCAAATGTAGCTGAGGTCACAAGAAAGTGTGAAGCAGGTGGAGGCCACACACTAGCATGACTGATGGGAGAGCAGAATGAAGTTCTCTCTAGATTTCTGTGTCAGAAATTTGTATTTTTTTCAATGGTATTTGCATCCTTGAGTTTGAAGTAGGACAGGGGCCAAACAATGGACAGGGTATAAACAAAGACATGTTCATACATGTATACATGCACACCTTGTCTATATGGAGCCAAATCATCCCTTGTTGCTGTGGATATTTTTGGCAACAATCCTTTTGAACTTTTATTTTCAGAACCAGGAGTGGTGGCACATGCCTTTAATCCTAGCACTCGGGAGGCAGAGGCAGGTGGATCTCTGTGAGATACAAACCAGCCTGGTCTATATAGTGAGTTCCAGGTCAGCTGAGGCTACAGGGAGACCCTGTGTCAAAAAAACCAACAAATCAAAACAAATAAACAAACAAAAAAACCCTTATTTTCTACTGTACAGTATAAAAAATAAAAACCAGCCACAATGAACACAAAAGTCTAATTACTGTCATCTCCTGGTGTTTGTGTCTAATCTCTGTCAATATTTCCATCCACGGTGCATTCTGTTTTTTCATTCTGTGTATGGGGTGCTGACTGAATACCAGGTAAATGCTCCACCACTTAGCTAGCTCCCTCGTCTCTCAGTGTATTTTTAAAAATACTTTATTTATTATTTTTATTTTATGTGTATGAGTGTATCGCCTGCATGTATGTAAATGCACCCGTGTCGTGCAATGCTGTGGAGGTCAGAAAGAGGGCTTCAGATTCCCCTGGAACTGGGGTTAAAGATGGTTCGTAGCTGCCATGTGGGTGCTGGGAATCGAACCCAGGTCCTCTGCAAGAGCAGTCAGTGCTCTTAACTGCTGAGCCATCTCTCCAGCCCCTCTCTCACTGTATTTTTTTGTCTTCACATTTCTCTGTGTTGAAAGTTATGGACTGGGGTTGTAGCTCAGTTGGTAGAGTGCTTGCCTAGCATGCACGAAGTACCGTGTTCAATCTCCAGCACCACATAAACCAGACATGGTGGTGCACACCTGTAATCCTAGCACTCGGGAGGTAGAGGCTGAAGAACCAGAAAAGTTCAGTCATCATTGCTTACATAGTGAGTCTGAGTCCAGCCTGGGCTACATGATTCCCTTTCAAGGAAGGGGAGAGGAGGAAAAGGGAGAGGAAAGGAGAGATGTCAGTTATTGAAAATCCTAGTGGTAGGAGATGGGCATTTACCTCTTTTAGTATGTAGCTCTCCCTCCTACCACTGTTGGATTTGAAGGGTTGGCGTGGGATCTCTGCCACTGTGAATAGCATTTCTGGAAAGGGATGACATGATCTCAACTAGGCAGAAACATGTTCCAACTCCAAACTGTTTCAAGAACTTGTTAGAAATGAAAAGTGAGCTCGAAGGTCTTGGCTGCTTGTAAGTTTATGGCAGGCAGTAGTTTAAAGTCCAAAGAGGCTCAGATTTCTACTCCAGGGTAGAAATCTCACCCTCAGTCCAGCCGCTTCTCTGCACCCCATCATGGTAGTGAAGTGAGGGTACAGCTGCCAGGTCCCAGCCTTCCCCAGGGGCTCGTGGGAACAGAGCCATCAGGCACACCCAGGATCAGTGACCTGCATTCTTCTCCTTGTCTCTCTGGATGAGTGGCCTTGCCTGCTCAGGACTACAGTGACAAGTGGCTTGCTGGAGAGTGACAAGAAGAATGAACAGTGAGAGCAGCGACAGTCACAGTGCACTGGGACCAGCGAAGGCCCAATGAGTAGGCAGACAGGTGGAGCATGGGTGTATGGGACACAGCTGCACGAGAACCTTCTTGGAGACCCTGATCAGAGAAAGGGTGAGAAAGGACCCAGCCACAGAACTATGGGTACCTCCAAATGGTGGGGTTTCGCCTCTATCTTTTGCTCTTTTCTGCTTTAGTGTGGCAGTAGCTTATTAGATAAAAATCTAATGTAGGTTGTTCAGTTTATGATGGAGAGGGATGTCCCTTTTGACTTGCAGGCAGAGACTGTGGCTCTGTTTGCTGTTGTTTTCCAACATAGCATCTAGGACAGGGCACTCTGGCTCTGGAGGGAACCTGTCGTGACATTCCTCTGAGTTACTGATAAACTACAGGGGGATTTGTGTCTCTCAAAATGACGCAAGTGCTTGTTCTTAAGTAAAGTCTGTGCGTAATCTTGGTGATTTGCTATTTTTGTTTTGTTTTCTTTTCAAATTACTTAATGGTGATTTGACACCCTGCATAGACTGAAACATTTAGTTGATTTTATTGAGTCTCAGGAAATAGGGCTTTGTAATCCTGTTACCTGATGCCATTGAAGATGTATGATGAAGCTGGTGTGGTGGTTCATGCCTGTGATCCTAACACTCAGGAAGCTGCTGGGACAGGAGAATTGTTAAAAGTTCAAGGCCAGCCTTGAACTTAAGGCTGAACTTTAGGGCTACAGAATGAGTCCTTAAAACAAAATAAAATAAACAAAAAGATGTATGGTTAATACCAAAGACCTCAAATTCCTAACGTTTCCCTCTTTTCTCTATGTGCCTTTCCAGTAGAGCTCTCAATCTTGTCACCATAACATTCAGAGGAGATCCACAAAGCCAAGAACCAAGAACTAGTTTGGGTCCTTGGTAGATGGGCATCAGTATCATCTACTAGCCAGCAGGATGGAGACCACACCCCTGAATTCCCAGAAGGCACTTTCAGCATGCAAGGCTGGAGAGGACTGTCTGGAAAACAGTGTTCTACAGAAGGGCACCCCCACCTCAGGGGACAAGGCAGAGTCTAGCCGAATATCCAATGGGTACTCTGCAGTTCCCAGCACCAGTGCAGGGGATGATGCTCAGCACTCTATCCCAGTAGCCACCACCACCCTGGTGGCTGAGATTCATCAAGGGGAGCGGGAAACTTGGAACAAGAAGGTGGATTTTCTCCTCTCTGTCATTGGCTATGCTGTGGACCTGGGCAATGTCTGGCGTTTTCCATACGTATGCTACCAGAATGGAGGAGGTCAGTATCGTGGGCCACCAGCAGAGGCTCTGACCCAGGGGTGGGCTGTATGTAGAGCCTTGTGGGAGGCCAAAAGACAAGTCACACCTCTGCTGTCCTGTGTAACTGACATGAGTCTGGGAATGTGAAACCTAGACTTTAATGCTAGTCTGACAAATCTCTAGTAAGCAAAAAGCTTAGGGGTCTGAGACTTCCAGGTTAAAAGCTGGAGCTCTCTCAGATCTGACACTGGGCATGGTTAGTGCTTCACTTGTTAAAGGGCTTCCTTCTCATCCTATGTTATCCAAGCTTCTGTTTCTGAGTCAGAAGCAAGAGAAAACCTATCACACTGTGCTGAGGCGAGGCCTTTCACTCCTGCAGGCAGTTCCTAGGAAGAGTCGGGAGGGGTAAGGGAGTAGAAGGAAGAATTAGGAGGTGGCTGTAGGGCTCCAGTCCCTACTAGGCCTCTGGATTTGTATGAGGTCAGAGAACGGCACCAGTTTAGGTCCAAAGTCTTAACTTTTCAAACCTGACATGATCCAAAGCTGAACCCAGTCCCAGTGTGGCATTAATGCCAACCCCTAAGCATGCATGGATATACTTCCATCTCCTGTGTTCGATTTTTGTAACCAGAGACCATGTCTTGTCCTTTGTCACCCTAAGGCTCTAAAGCAGTCCTATAGTTGATTGAGGCTGTGAGTTGGGTGAGTCTGGGAAAGAGCAAAGCAGGGCAGGGAGTGGGGTGAGTGGGCATTGGCCCTCTGTGTGGACACTGGCAAGAAGAAATGGGTGTTGAATCAGCTCATATATATATATACATATATATATATATGGTCTTTTTGAGACAAGTTCTTCCTGTAGCCCCTGCTGGCCTGTAACTCACAGAGATCCACCTGCCTCTGCCTCCTGAGTGCTGAGATTAAAGTCATGCGCCACCATGCGCGGCTCACTTGTGGCATCTTTTTAAGGAGTACTGTGGCTGCAAAGACAGCTCCTTGGGGCCTCAGGAGAGTGAACACTTCTTGCCTAGGAGGAGTGGACATTATAATCTTATCTGCAACTTGAGAAGACTCACCTTTAGCCTGAGCCTTGTATTAGGGGTTGTATCCTTGGTGACATTTTCTTCTGTAAATCCAGTCAGGTAAATCCTTTGGGCGAAAGCCACCATGAAAACAGCATGATTTTGATTCTCAAGCCAGATTTACCCAATGTGACTGTAAAATATGTGGACCTTTCTGAGTCTCACTCAGGTTTCTAGGGAAAGAGCTCTTCCTAGGAAGGAAAGTTACCAGGGAGAATCATAGCTGACTCACCCTGTGGCCTAAAACTCTGGAGAGTTTCTTCAGTCTCAAGTTTTGAAATTCAGCCTCAGCTATAGATCCGGAGACACAGCATCCTCAGTTCTGCAGACACTCTGCACCTTCTTGCTCTGTGAGAAACTACCTTGTTCAGACATGCTCCCAAAGGTGGCTTGTGAGGGATCATTTTGGCTCAGTGGAATTGCAGTCATGCAGCTGAATCTCAACGGTGATACTGATGGAGGATCCTTGAGTCAGTTGCATCTGTGTGGCTCATCAAAGGTTACTAGTTCCCAGGGCTTCCTTACTGATTGTATCAGAGTCATCTGGGCTCTTGACAATTTTACATTACTCCTCACCTGGACATTTTTCTTAATGAAGCCTCAGGTGGACCCTGGAATCTGGGGGTCAGTTTTTAGGGTCACCAGTGACTGTGATGTGTGACTGAGTTGGGGTTCTCATCTCTCCTTGGCACTGTTATCTGATAAGGGAGGAAATCAGGGCTTCTTGGGGTAGTGACTTGGGCTTCTCAGGCAGTGGAGGTGGTCCTGGTGCCTGCTTTGGTGACTCTCAGCCCCGTTCTCTTTCTATTTACTGGCTCAGCCCCATCCCCTCTGTTTTGTCTTGTTTTGCTTTTATTTCTGTTTAGACAATATATTTGTTTTGTCGCTTGTTGCTGTTACAAAATATGCTGACAAAAACAACTTAAGGGGGAAAGGGTTTATTTGACTCATAATTTCAGGTTCCAGTCCATCTTTGCAGAAAATTCAGGGTGGCAAGAACTTGAAACAGCTGGTCACATGACAGCCACAGCGGCCAGCAGAGAGCAGTGGTTTCCTGCATGCAAGCACTCAGCACCTGTTCCCCTTCTCAGTCAGTTGAGGGCCCAGACCATGATGTGGGGTTGCTCTCATTCAGTGTGGGTCTTATCTCATTTAACCCAATTAATAAAGTCTCTCATAGGCATGCCCACTAGACAGTTCCTCGTGGAGACTCCCAGATGAGTCTACACTGTGTCAAGTTGACAGTCCACATTGACCAACCCAGACAGGGTCTCACACTTTGTGTTGTGGAGCTTCGTCTACACCTACCTCTGGCAGAAAACAGAGACCAGGGCAGCACACTGTGAGGTCACTCAGCACAAGGAGCAGGGGGAGGCCTCATGTCCACATCAGTTGGGCTGACTGGGGACAGATGTGGGGAGGAAGTGAAATTGTCTTCCTTCTGCCTCAGGTGCCTTCCTCCTGCCCTACGCTATCATGGCCATCTTTGGGGGGATCCCACTCTTTTACATGGAGCTTGCACTGGGCCAGTACCACCGAAATGGATGCATTTCTATATGGAGGAAAATCTGCCCGATTTTCAAAGGTAACTGAAGAGTTTGAGTGGGGGTGGGGGGAAAATGGGGCTGAGCAAGGCACTTCCATAAAGGGGTGGGACCTGGGACCTACTACTTTAATCTTTTAAGCCTTAGAGATCTCTGGGAGGTGGCTTGAGTCATCAGTTTTCTGACTGCTCAGATAATGTTAAATTGTTTAAAAAATAATTCTAAATGGCAATTAAAAGTAAACTAAATTTAAAACATTTAGAGCAAGGGCTGGAGAGATGGCTCAGTAGTTAAGAGCACTGGCTGCTGTTGCAGAGGACCCGTGTTCAAGTCCCAGCACCTACATGGAGGTTAACAACTGTTTATAACTCCAATTCCAGGGGATCTGATGCCCTTTTCTGACCTCCGACGGCATTGCACGACACAGGTGCATTTACATATATGCAGGCAGTACATTTGTACACATGAAAAATAAAATAAAATATTTTAAAACACTTAGAGCATTAACAACACACATTTCCTGAAACTTGAAAACTTGCATATACGTATGAGCCCTCTGTAGCAGTGCCACATTCCCACTCATGGAATCTTGGAGATGATGTAGGTGGCAGTGACTATTTTTACCCTTCGAAGACCTGTGGACTCTCTTGCCTTGTCTCACCCTTTCACTGTTGAGCTGACGTTTGAACTTGGCCTTTCTCACCTACTGCCCAGGGATTGGCTATGCCATCTGCATCATCGCCTTTTATATTGCCTCCTACTACAATACCATCATAGCCTGGGCGCTTTACTACCTCATCTCCTCCTTCACGAGCCAGTTGCCCTGGACCAGCTGCATGAACTCTTGGAACACTGGCAACTGCACCAACTACTTCTCTGAGGACAACATCACCTGGACTCCCCATTCCACATCCCCTGCTGAGGAATTTTACATGTAAGTGAATGTGAGTGAGGGGGGTGGTCTGTTAAGGGCAAGCCATACCCCTGGAACTTGGCATCTTAGGGGCTAAGAGCTTATCACTCCTCTTCTGGCAGACTTCTTTTTTAAAAGGTTTTCATTAGCATATATATATATATATTTGTTTAAAATATTTTATTTTTTGGACTGGAGAGCTGGTGCAGCCATTAAAGGCTCAGGCTCACAACCAAAAAGACAAAAATATTTTATGTGTATGAGGGTATTGCCTGTATGTGTGTGCCCTGTATGTGTATACGTGCACCCATGTCATGCAACGCCAACAGAGGTCAGAAAAGGGTGTCCAATCCCCTGGAACTGGAGTTACAGGTGGTTATTAGCTTTCATGTGGGTGCTGGGAATTGAAGCCTGGTCCTCTGCAAGAGCAGCCAGTGCTCTTAACTGCTGAGCCATCTCTCCAGCCCCAGTTCGTTTTTGTTTTTGTTTTTTGAGATAAGGTCTTCTTGTAGCCTCAGCTGGCCTGGAACTCACTATGTAGGCCAAGCTGGCCTGGAACTCACAGAGATTTGCCTGGTTCTGCCTCCGGAGTGCTGGGATTAAAGGCCTGCAACCACCACACCCAGACGTTAACATATATACGTTGTACATAATAATGGTTTCCTGGTGGCCTTTTTACTCATGGGTATAAAGCTTTTTTTTTTTTTTTTTTTTTGTTTTTTTTGAAAACATGCATTGCTTTTGTAATCAATCTATGGGGTGTTTTTTCAAAGAGCGAAAGGGTCAAATTCTTAGATTTCAGATGCCTCTGCCTCCCAAGTGCTGGGATTAAAGGTGTGCACCACCACGGCCAGCCCTTAAGCATTTTGTTCATATTCACTCCCCCAGTGTCTTCTCACCCACTCATCCCCTTCCTCCTCCTAACTAATCCTTCCACTTTCATCTTTTGTGTATGAGAAAGGGAGGGAGGGGAGGGAGGGAAAGAGGGAAGGAGGGAGGGAGGGAGAGAAGAAGGGAGGGAGGGAGCGTGGGAGGGGGAGATGAGTTTAATGAGGACTGCTTACAGGAGCACTGACAATTTACCAATGGCTACACCACTGAAGAAAATGTCTCTGTCCCAGTAAATGTTAACTGCCTGTAGATCTTCAGGGAGGGGTGGGACAGACCCTGTGAGTCCTTCCTTGTCTCCTGGCAGATTTCTGAGAGGAGAAGTTGTCAAGAATAGGAGAACAGATGTGAGTGTGTGTCAGGGTTGACCCCCTGCAGGATTTGGAGTTGGGACTCTAATTGATGGCTCGCAATCTTAATCTTTTTGCCTCCCTCCCATATGTCAGGCCAAACTGCTCCATTATATCCAAGCTGACCCATACCTTCACTTTCCAGAATTACTCCCCTTGCATCAAAACTACCCTTCTTTCTAGCTCCTCCTCCAGCAAGTTGTCATGGAAGCAAAACACACCTGCAAGACACGGTGCCTGGAGTGCTGCCGCAGTAGTTCAAAACTATTCAAATTGTTTCTGATTTCATGTGCTGACTTCCTAAGTGGAACCTGACCTTTGGAAGAGATGCTTGGAGAATTGGGGGGGGGGGGGGTGTTTGTTTTTTATTTTTTAAATCTTGTGGTGTTGAGGATTCAATCCAGGCTCTTGCACATGCTAAACATTTGTGCTACTAAGCTACACCTCCGCCCAGTAGTATGTTTAATGCAAGAACTTTAGGCAATGGAGGCCTGAATATAGAGCCATTTTGGAGTGAGGCAGGGGGCTCATTACCTGCACAGATAAGTTCTTGTGTACCAGGAAGCCAGTCATGGTGGTCAGGAGGACTCAGATACAGGGAACAAAGGAGGAGCTGCAGGAAGTCTGGTTTGGGGCTGAGTATTCCTCTCAGGACCAGCTGTGAATATGCTACTCACTCTCTCAGGATGATGAGGTCCATTCCGGCCCTCCAGAGGTCCTGCTGAGGTCTACTCTTCCCTGGACTATCACAGACCATGTGCCCCAGTCACTGTCTCACAGGCCTTTTTTTCTGTCACTCCAGGCGTCATGTCCTGCAAATCCACCAGTCCAAGGGACTCCAGGAACTGGGGGGCATCAGCTGGCAGCTTGCTCTCTGCATCATGTTTATCTTCACCATTATCTACTTCAGCATCTGGAAAGGTGTCAAAACATCAGGCAAGGTGAAGACTCTGTCTGCTTATCCTAGCCTGCCCTGGGGCCCCACAGAATCCCAAACTTAGGACCTATTAACCTGGATGGCTGCAGGGCAAGGAAAAACTAATATGCTTCAACACTAAACACATTCATTCTATGATGTTTGTTCATCACATCTGTTAGAAAATTCTAGAAATGGATCAATATCATTTATATAAAAGTGCATGTAAGTGAATGAAGGTAAAATGCAGTCCCTTTATAATTATAGTAAAAGTTATATAGGCACTGGGCAGGTCACTCAGTAGGTAAGGTGTATGCCACCCAAGCATGAGGACCCGAGTTTGGATCCCCAGCACTCAAATACTCCCAGTGCTGAGGAGGCAGAGACAGGAGGATCCCTGGGGCTTGTTGGCCAGCCGTCTAGTCAAATCGATGGACTCTAGGTTCTGTGAGAGTACAAATAGTAAGACAGAGATTGGTTGAGGAAGATACCCCATATCAATTTCTGGCATCCACACACATATGCAAGCACACACAAATTATATGTTCTTATCCCAAACTTTTTTTTTTTTATCTTTTTGAGACAGGGTCTCCCTGTAGCTCCCGCTGACCTGGAACTTGCTATGTAGACCAGGCTGGCCTCGAACTCACAGAGATCTGCCTGTCTCTGCCTGCCAAGTGCTGGGATTAAAGGTGTGTGCCACCACGCCCGGCTATCCAAAACTTTTTAAACTTACAGATAGAATCACAGTTACTAGTAGTGGCAATAATTTACTAAAAGCTAATTATGGAGACACACTTAGTGCTTTATGCACACTGACGGCTTCTGTTGTGTCCTGCTAGATACTGTTGCTCTTACAGATGTGGAGTGAGCGTAGAGATAGGGAGTACTGGCCAAGCTGAGTCAGACCCTTGTCTGTCTGATGCTGAAGACAATGGGTTTTAGTTATTGCCTTGCTTTTCTTTTTCTGTGTATGAATGTTTCTGTCTTCTGTGTATGAACGTTTTGCCTGCCTGTCTGTATATGCAACATGTATGTGCCTGGTACCTGTGGCGGTCAGAAGGAGATGTTGGATCCCCTAGAACTGGAGTTATAGAGGGTTGTGAGCTGCCATGTGGGTGCTGAAAACCAAACTTGGATCCTTCGTAAGAACAGCAAGTGCTCTTAACCATGGAGTCCTCTCTCTAGCCCTTTCCTTCCAACCTGTTGTTTGAGACAGGGTCTCATTATGTAACCTTGGCTGGTCTGGATTCTCTTTATAGATCAGACTGGCCCCAAACTCATAGAGATCTTCCTATCTCTGTCTCCCAAGTGCTGGGATTAAAGGTATGGGTCATCACATCCAGCCAGTTACTTTAAAATAAGGTGTTTATTTTGGTCTTTTTGAGACAGGGTTTCCCTGTAGCCCCAGCTGGCCTTGAACTCATTATGTAGACCAGGCTGGCCTTGAACTCACAGAGATTCACCTGCCCCCTTCTAAAGGCATATGCCACCACGCCCAACTAACTTTATTTTTAAGGATAATATCTCACGATGCATTCCAGGCTGGGCTTAAACTCATGGGAATCCTCCTGTCTCAGCTTCTCAAGTGGTGGAATTATAGGCGTACACTACACCCAGCCTTGGGTATGATCTTTCTTCCTTGCCAAGTTGCTTCCTAAACTTACAGAAGAGTGAACCCCCATTCTCAAAGGTCTTTAGGAGTAAAAGACACTGCCACCACCTGTCTCCCTTCCTTGCTGTCCCCAGAATAATGTGGTAATAACTTGTATCTTCTTCTTAACAGGTGGTATGGGTGACAGCCACCTTCCCTTATATCATCCTTTCTGTCCTGTTGGTGAGAGGGGCCACCCTCCCTGGAGCCTGGAAAGGGGTCATCTTCTACTTGAAACCCAATTGGCAGAAACTCCTGGAGACAGAAGTAAGTTGAGGGAAATGGTGGCACCTGCCTATCTTTGACAGGATAAGCTAGTTCTCTTTCAAATAGGATGGTAGTTTCAAATTTAGTTTAATGAGCAAGTCTGTAATGATTCTTTGAACCAGAAATACAAGCATTTAAAGTACAGCATTTTGAGGCCACTGAATGAGGTTAAGCTTAAATGATAAGAAGAGAAAGCGCATGTATTGAACTGGTAAGTGTCCCATCCCTGGACTGAGCCTTGAAAAGCTGGTTTCTGCCCTGCATAAAGCCATGGGGAGGCATGAGAGGTGCTGCTTTGCTTGTGCTTGGCATTGGCCGTGTCCCCCCTTTTCACACAACCTACCCCCTGCTGTGTTCCAGGTGTGGGTGGATGCTGCTGCTCAGGTCTTCTTCTCTCTTGGTCCAGGCTTTGGGGTGCTCCTGGCTTTTGCTAGTTACAACAAGTTCAACAACAACTGCTACCGGTGAGTACATGGGGCTCTCAAGCAAAGACTGGAAGTGAATGACCAAAAGTTGATAGTCTGAGGGAGGTGATTAAACTGATGATCTTAAACCTTGCTGAGCCCAGACCATAAGACACTGCCCGTCAAGGGTGTCACAAGCCCTTGGCCATTCATCCATGACCATAGTAATATTCATGCTTCCTTACCCAGGCTACTCAGAGGTTGAGAAAAGCCCTAAGTTACTTATTCTGTTTTGTGAGAGTCCTATATATTTTTTAAAAACTGAAAAGTTCCTAATTGGGGGTGAGGATGCATGTCTATGATATCAGTCCTTGGGAAGTGACAGCAGAAGGATTAGGAGTTCAGCCAGCCTTGACTACATATGGAGTTTAAGATTGGCCTGGCCTGGATGAGATCCTGTCTTAAACAAGACAAGACAAAAACAAACAAAAATAACAAACATCCACTCCTACCATCACCACCACCACCAAAAACTCCAAGAAATTCTAATGCAGACATAAAAATTGCAGCATACACTATTTGGGCTTGACTAATACATTTAACAACAAAAATTATAATCTGGTTATTTATATATACACAAAAATTATAGTGATTGAACTATTTTGGCTTATAAAAAATGCCATAATTGTGGAAAAGTCACATTTCAGATGTTTTAACAAAACAGGAGTGTTGTGCCCGTGAGGACTTGAGTGCCCCTCATCACCTTTAGACTTTAAAATTTTTCCTATACAGATGGCTATGTCTAGCAATCTGTTTTTACTATTCAGAAAATAATTACGGAATTCTTTTTAAAGACTGGGGGAAGAGTTCACACACATACATACATCGTAAGGAATGTGGTCTTGTGTTGGGATACCAGCTAAAGTTGTGTGATGAAGTCTTAAAACTGCCAAGGTATCTCTGTGGCAGTCTTCTGACTTCACTTGAAGATAATGTCAAGTACCTAAATATAAGAACTTCACAAATGTGAAGTCCAAGCCTTTCCTGGACCTCCATCCCGGGCCCTGCTCCAGAACAGTGCCCTTCTAGCTGACATGGAGAGGCCTATGCTATGCTGTTTCACAGCAGGACAGGCTCCCCCTATCCCCATCTTGCTATGTAGCTCATGCTAGTCTTGAACTCACAGTCCTTCTGCCTCACTTAGCCTTCCAAGTGGGAGAATTACAGCATGTGCCACTGCACCTGGTTGAAGAACATGTCTTAGAACGCCCCCTTACCTACTCCCCCTCATACAGTATTTGGGAGATAGGGCTCTGGGAAAAGAGGGAGAACAGCTTGGAGGCCGGAGCCAGCAGGACAAACACAGACGGGTGCTTCTTAGACTCCCCAGTCCAGAACTGTCTCAGGCATCCTAGGTTTTCATTCCAGAGATGCCCTGGTGACCAGTATGGTGAATTGCATGACCAGCTTCATTTCGGGCTTTGTCATCTTCACGGTGCTTGGGTACATGGCTGAGATGAGGAACGAAGATGTGTCTGAGGTGGCCAAAGATGCAGGTAGGATCCAGAGCACTGTTTACTGAATTGATCTATTTTGGAATCTTTAAAAAATATCTAACTTTTTGCCAGGTGTAGTGGTGCATGCCTTTAATCCCAGCACTCGGGAGGCAGAGGCAAGGGGATCCTTGTGAGTTCAAGGCCAGCCTGGTCTACATAGTAAGTTCAGGTCAGCTGGGACTATAGGGAGACCCTGTCTCAAAAAGACCAAAAAAAACAAAAACTAACTTTTCAACTATTCTTTTAAGTTTTCAAAAATTTGAAAGAAACTTAATGCCTTAGTGATCTCAGCCCTCTCATGCATTTAGGGTTAGGGCAGTTCTCTTGGTGCCCCATACTGGGGCACATGATGGGCTAGAAAATATGACTTGGATGGTAGCTCTAAAATCATTGGGTTTGAGCCCTGGGATGATCTTGTGATGAGGTCTAGTCTAGTAGGCAAATAATTACTAATCCTTACAATTGCCCCTTGCAGAAAGATAAAGTATAGGTGATGTTACCACTCTGCTTCTTATATTGTGAGGTTTTCATGGAAAAACATGTGGCAGACATTGAAACAGTAGGCCCTAGTAGATGGAGGCCCACAGCTCTGAGAAATACCTGTATATTTGGCCTGATATGGTACTTTGACCAACCTCATACTCCAAATGACAGAATCCCTAGCTAACTCACAAGAAATTGAGAACATGTTCCTCACACTGTCAAAAGACTAAGAGATATAGATAGATCACTGGTGGAGCACTTGCCTACCATGTTCAGATTCTGAAGTTCTGTCCCCAGCACCACCAAATTAAAAAGAAAAAGGGCAGGGGACTTCAAAATAGCAAGGAGGGACTGGAGAGATGGCTCAGCAGTTAAGAGCACTGGCTGCTCTTGCAGAGGACCCCATTTGATTCCCAACACCCACATAGTGGCTAACAACCGGGGGATCTGATGCCTTCTGGCCTCCATGGGCATTGTACACATGTGGTATACTTACATACATATAGGCAAAACACTCATATGCATAAAAAATTTTTAAAAATTTATTGTGATTTTTGGTGCAGCTGAGTGTTGCTCTGCACTGTGTTGGTAGGACAGGTCTCAGCATCTACCTCTTCCTCTTCCTTCTCTGTTTCAGGCCCCAGCCTCCTCTTCATCACATATGCAGAAGCTATAGCCAACATGCCAGCATCCACATTCTTTGCCATTATCTTCTTCCTCATGTTAATCACACTGGGCTTGGACAGCACGGTGAGTAAACACAGAAGGAAAATGGGTTCTGGGAAAAGGAGGAGCTGGCTAGACTCCCTTCCACCCTGCTAGTGCTGCTGGCTATGTCTCCTGGAACTTCCCAAGCCCCTGTCCATTCCTCAGCAATGGCACTTTCTGCCCCTGGTATATTAGAGAGTCACTAGTGGCATAATGTAGAGAAAGTGCCTCTGGTGCAGGCAAGGGACTCAGCATGTGGGAATCCCTTATCTTTGTGTATGGATGCTTAACCTTTGGTGATGCCCAAAGGCTCAGCTCAAAGACTCTCACCTAATAGTGTAGAGAGGATGTTAGAATTGAGTTGGCCTTCTTGATGCAACCAGTCTCCCCAGAACTCAGTGCTGAAGTCCTGTGTGCTGTATTTTCTTGCCCGTGTGTCCTTAGTGATGGTTTTAATGATGGTGTCAAATGGAAATATGCTTCTGGATGTATTCATGGGTCAGTGAGTGGGATACCTAGCCATGATCAGCTTGACTGTTCACCTAGCAGTCTTTCTGTTCACTGTCCTCAAGGCACAGACTTATCCCAAGACTCACTGTGATCATGTGCACGTTCTTAGTTTGCAGGACTGGAGGGCGTGATCACAGCTGTGCTAGATGAGTTTCCACACGTCTGGGCCAAGCGCAGGGAGTGGTTTGTGCTCATTGTGGTCATCACATGTGTCTTCGGATCCCTAATCACACTGACTTCTGTGAGTACCACGACCCCCGGCTCTGAGTGGGCCTCCACCGGGGCAACAGCATGCTACAAGAAGCTGTTCTTTTTCTGCTTCTCCACATAATGTTCTCATCTGGGGGCCTAAAGAGAGGTTGCTACTACTATTAAATAGTTTCTCATCATGTGCTGGGGATGTGGCTCAGTGGTACGGTGCTTGCCTACCATATGCGAAGCCCTGGGTTCAATCCCCAGCCTTGAAAAAAAAAAGTTTGTCATAAGGAGAAGGGAGATTATTTCTAGCAGCATCAGTTTGTAGAATCTGTGTGTGGCATCGGGAGGCTTAGCATTTTACAGCAGATCCAATTATATTTCAGGCTTGGCAAAAAATACCTGGGAAAAAAAAACTAGGGTTTGCAATTCTGCCCTTGAGAGCTGCTTTTATGCGTGTATTGCCCTGACGTCCTGATCTGTAGGCTGGTGTCTTATGTGTGTGGTGCCACTTTGTCTCCTCTAGAGCTTTTTAATGGTAAAGAAGTCAGACCTGCTTCAGCGATTTCTCTCTCTCTCCCCGTCTCTCCCATCATCTCCTTTAAAAAGTTATTTTTATGTGTATGAGTGTTTTGCCTGTACATATATGTGTGCCACATATGTGCAGTACCTATGGAGGCCAGAAGAGGGCATCAGACCTCCTGAAACTGGAGTTACAGATGGTTGTGAGTCACCATGTTGGGTGCTAGGAACTGAACCTGAGTCCTCTGCAAGAGCAGCCAGTGCTCTTAGCTGCTGGGTCGTCTCTCCAGCTGGCCTCTCCTTTTGGTAGCTGAAGTAAAGTGTACATGAGATAAGTCAGCATCCTAGCCTTGTGTTCTCTTGACTCAAGCCAGATTTTGCATGTAGTCCTCTTTAAACCATGACCCCACTGTCTCTGGCACTTCACTGGGATTGATTAGGGACTCTATAAGACTCTGAGTAGTTAGAAGTTAGGACAGGCCGGGCATGGTGGTACTCGCCTTTAATCCCAGCACTTGGGAGGCAGAGGCAGGAGGATCTTTGTGAGTTCGAGGCCAGACTGGTCTACATAGTGAGTTCCAGGACAGCTGGGGCTACAGGGACACTCTGTCTCAAAAAAAAAGAACAGAAAGAAGCAAAACTGTGACCAAAGTGTTCCATGGTTGACTCAAGATTCAGTCTTTAGAGATGGGGATTCTCTAGGACTGAGTAGGCAGGAGATACTCAGTAAGTTGAAAATGGATATAGAGATCTCTTCAAGCTCATGGATCAAACAGGAAGGACATACCCTGGGGCTCAGGGCATAGCTCAGTGGTAAAGCATTTGCCTTGAATGCCCCAGCCTGTGGGTTCCACCCCCAACACCATTAAAAATGTGTTCCGTATGGTGAGGAGTCTGATGGACCCACATTCAGAGGCCACTCCACAAGACGGGCTCTGGGGTAGGGACTAGGTCCAAGGTGGGAATTCTCCAGCACTGCCCTATATTCACAGGCTTCTGTGGGCCTTTGTAATAAAGAGTAGAAGTACCTCAGAAACCCTTAACCAAGTCTGTGATCTCATTCCCAGGGTGGGGCCTATGTAGTGAAGCTGCTGGAAGAGTATGCCACGGGCCCTGCAGTGCTCACCGTGGCACTTATAGAAGCAGTTGCTGTGTCTTGGTTCTATGGTAAGCTGTTCCTTCTACCAGCTGGAGAGTTTTTCTACACTACCTTCAGCCTGAATAGAGACAGGCATGGAGTTCATCAGAGAAAGAATGGGAGGGACAAGTGACCAAGTCTGCTCTCCTGATGGGTCTGTAAAATAACCTCAGCTGAGGGCCTACAGCAATGCCATCCTTTCTTCTGCATTGTACAGTGGGTTGTACCTTTGGGGGAGAACATTTTTCCTGCCCTGATTTTGAGTGCTTACCCAGTGGAGGAAGGCTGAAGCCAATCCATTTCACCTATAGAAGCAGTTTAAGATCACGTTAAATAGTGCTCCAAATTTAAATTTCTCAAGTAAGAGCTCTCTCTAGACCCCTGAGACAGAGCTTAGGTCCTTATCTACTAAAGAGGCAAGAATGTTCTTATTTGCATTGTTGGCCCTGGTAACCCCCCAGTTGATGGCCTCTGGTATGGGATGGAATTTGACAAGGATGAAATAAAAGAAGTACAGGAAATGAGCTGAGATGGGTCTATTAGCAGAGGGCACAGGCAACTAAGAACGCAAGTTCAGAGATGCGTCAAGAAGCATACCTCATTCTAAAATAGATTTGCTTTCTGACTTTCTGTGATAAATATTTTAACATGGTCATCATTATGCATGCTGTGAAGAAGAGGGGTGGTACATTTTGAGTTGTGCATGGGCCTAATTTTGCAAAAGATGTTTTCTTTTATTTTTAATTGCGTGGTGTGTGTGTGTGTGTGTGTGTGTGTGTGTGTGTGTGTGTGTGTGTGTGTATGCAGCTGCCCTAGGAAGGCAGAAGAGCATTGGATCCCCTGGAGCTGGAGTTAGAGGAGATTGTAAGCTGGGAACTAAATTCAGGGTTCATTTTTTTCTTTGATTTGTTTATTTTTATTTTATGTGTATGAGTGTTTTGCCTGCATGTATGAAAGAGTGCTACATGCATGCAAAGCCCTAGAGGTTAGAAGAGGCTGTTACATCCCCTGAAACTGGAGCTATGGATGGTTGTTAGCTGCCATGTGGGTGCTGGAAGTGAACCCCAGTTCTCTGTAAGAGCAGCTAACTGCTGAGCCATCTCTCCAGCCCCCAGGGCCCAATTTTTTAAAAAGGAGAAATCCTCTTTACTTCCTCTGCAATTCAGAGGACAGAGTCCAAGGTCCCTGAAGGCCTGACCTAGGAACTGTGGTGCTTTTGAGGAAGCAGGCCAAGCACCTTCCCCTTTGTAGGTCTTACCTGTCGGTGAGTGTTCTCAGCTCTCACTCCAGTGCCAATAACTTTTTATAGAACTGAACTGGCATATGACTGGGAAACATTGTGGTTAAAAATTTCCCATGAGCTGGGTGTGGTGGCACACGCCTTTAGTCCCAGCACTCAGGAGGCAGAGGCAAGTAGATCTCTTGTGAGATGGAGGCGAGTCTGGCCTACATAGTGAGTTTGAGGCCAGCTGGGACTACAGGGAAACTCTATCTCAAGACCCCCACCCCCAAAAAAAATTTCCTTGAAAGTTACCAGTTTCCATTTGGGTTCATCATTCCTAAATAAAACTCAGCTTTCTATAATAATACTAAAATCAAACCTATGCCATGGTCTTCGAATGGCAGTATGGGCACCAAGGGGGGCTTTGGGTCTCTGCCTAGATATCCATCAACTCTCCTGCTCTATGTAGAAGAGCTTTGCTTCCCATAAAAATTCAGTTTTGTGATGTAACCCAGTCTACTTTCATGCTAGATTGAGTCCTTGAGCCTGTCATGTGGAGAAATTCCAGAGCTACTCCATTGATTCAGGGCAGGAATCTGAGCTCTCTTCCCTCTTGTCCTGACAATGCTAGCCCCACTGATCCAGGAGATAGAAAGATGTCCATGTCCTCTCCATGAGTCTCTCCTTTGGATGATTCCAGGTATCAATCAGTTCTGTAGTGATGTGAAGGAAATGCTTGGCTTCAGCCCTGGATGGTTCTGGAGGATCTGCTGGGTGGCCATCAGCCCCCTGTTTCTCTTGGTGAGTTGTCACTTTTTCTTGCCTTGGTGGTAAAGACATTTATAAGAAATAAATGTTACTGAAATGTAATACATACACTGGTATACACCGAGTATACCAGCCATAAATGTACATCTCAAAGAAATCTTATAAATTGAATACTACTATGCAGTCAAAATCATACCAAGGAACAAAAAAATATAACCAGTACTTCAAGAAGCCCTTCTATGCTGGGGCCCTTCCAGTCTCTGTGCCCACCACTGCTCACCTATTCTATGATCTCTAACACTAAGAATCATGTTAGTCTAGTCCCAGTTGAACAATAATAATTAACATTTATTGAACACTAAGTGCCAGGGCAGATTTAGTGCTAAACTTACACCAAACTAATTCTGTAAAGTAGTAGGGTGTTTTGTTTTGTGTTTTGTTTTGTTGAGATGGTTTCCCTATGTAGCCCGATCTGGCCTGGAACTCTGTGTAGCCTAAGTTGGCGTTATATTTGAGATCCTCCTGCCTCTGCTTCTCGAGTGCTACTATTACAAGAGTGAGCTACCATACTTGGCTTGGTACTTCTATTTTACATGTAAGAGAATTGAGGCAGCTGGAGAGATGGCTCAGTGGTTAAGAATACTGGCTGTTCTTGTAGAGGACCGAGGTTTGGTTCCCAACACCCACATGGTGGCTTACAACTATCCATAACTCCAGTTCCAGGAGATCAGATGCCCTCTTCTGGCTTCCGTGGGCACTATACACACATGGTGCACTCATACACATGCATAATTAAATAATTAAATATTAAATATATAATTAAATATTTTTTAAAAAGAAAATTTAGGCTTAAGTGACATTAAAGTTATATAACAAGAGCCTATTCAAAACCAAGGAAGAAATTACTGTGTTGCTCAGGAAGGCCCTGACAGGGGTCCTAGCAGCTGTATACTTAGAATTTTGCAAGCATCTTGAAGGTCCCACACAAACGTCAAGTTTCAGTCCAAGTCAAATATAGAATTCATTTATTGTCAAAGGACCTGGGTAAGAAAGTTGAGTTCCAAGGATTACCCAAGATGTGCCTCTGCTGTCCTCCCAGGGTCTTCCTGTTACCCAAAGATGAATAATACCCTACTAATTTTCCAAGAGCTGTGTGCATCAGCGGGGACTGCGCTTCAGTTTTTTCATTTACGTGTAATTTTATTTGGGGGACATTTTTGATCTTTTAGAGCCAGAAAGGTGAGTTAGACCATTCTGTCTACCCATCCCAGCCTCTCGAGTCTCCGAGCCATTCCTTTGTCTTAAGCTTTTCTTTGGTGTGCTCTGTTCCTTCTCTTTGAAGACCTTTTGTGCTGTTTTGGCTTTCTTGAGGGGGTGCCCTCTGCCCTTTAAGTACTTTCTGGCACTAACACATCTCAATATGAAGTTATATATGATGATGGCTCACATGCTGTCTTTGCCTCTGTGACACTTTATGCATCTCTCTGTACCCCCAAAGCCCTTCCTGACTTCTGTTGCTCTGGACTCCAGAAGTTTTTAAAACCAAGCATTTGCCCTGAGCAGCAAATGATCCCAGGGCCCAGTGGCTGTTGTGTGAGCTCTGGGCTCTAGCATCTTCTTATATTTTGGTCCAGTAGTTCTTTATTTCTTTGCCAGCTTGCTGCCCATTGATGGTTTTAGTCAAAAATCAAAGCAGTTAAGAGCACTTACTGATCTCCTGGAGGACCCAGGTTTAATTCCCAGGACCCATAAGGCAGCTAACCCCAGCTTTAACTCCATTTCTAGGGGCTCAGACACCCTCTTCTAGCTTTTGCAGACATTGCATGCACATAGTTCACTTACATACATACAGGCAAAGCATCCATACACATAAAAGAAAAAACAGAAACAAACAAAAAACTTTTACTTAATTTTCAATTAATTAATTCTTTTTGAAACAAAGTCTCATTATGTAGTCCTGGGTAGTCTGAAACTTACAATGTAGACTAAGCTGGCCTCAAACTCACAAAGTCTGCCTGCCTGTGTCCTGAGTGCTAGGTAGGATTAAAGGCTTGTGTCTCCTCCACTCCACACCCAACCAAAACCTTTTTCTCTTTAGGCAAGGTTTTGCTAGTCTTACCCTTGAGCCCAGGAGATTGCTTATCTCAGCTTTTCAAGTAACTGGGACTCTAGGTGTACACTACTGTGCCTGGCTACTCTTTCTTTCCTTCCTTCCTTCCTTCTTTTTTTTTTTTTTTTTTCGGACAGGGTCTCCCTGTAGCCCCCAGCTGGACTGGCACTCACTATGTAGACCAGGCTGGCCTTGAACTCACTGTGAGCCACCTGCCTCTGCCTCTGGAGTGCTGGGATTAAAGGTGTGTGCCACAACACACGGCCCTACTTTTCTTTTTTAAATCTGTGTTTCAGTTGTTTTTAGTGAGCGGTTTGGTGAATCTCTTGGCCTACCATTGCCAGAAGCCAAAGTCCTGACATAAATAGGTTATTAATTTGTATTAATACCTGTGCTTCTTGATAATCTACTTAAACCCTTTCATTTGTTTTTCAGAGGAAGAAGGCACATTAGATTAATTCCTCAAGGGCAGGAACATGTTTGCTTGTGTACTTTCATACTCCACACCCAGCAAGGAAGTGCCAGGGTCCAGACTGGGGTGAGACAAGTGAGAACCTCACCAGGAGCGCAAAATCTAAGGATTGATAAACAGCTCAGTGCTTGAGATAAATAATGTTCGAACACAAACCTTTTTTAAAAAATCAATGAAAAAAATCCACAATGTACAAGATTTTCACAAACACGGGAACCAGCCGCTGTACCGTATGTTACCTCATTTGCTTTCCCTTAATCTGGCCCCATCAGATCCCGTCTCTTACAGATTTCACTAAAATATTATCTCAGCTATTGAAATGTTGGCTTCCCTTTGCACACTATACTGAGGTGAGTGCCTGGCATACCTCATTCTTGTTCTAGCCCTGAGGCCTTGGGCATTTTATTTCTAGAGGCTCATGGTCAATGAGTTCCTTTACCCAGCAAACCCCATGTACAGACAGACTGGGTGCAGGCACATGACTCATGGCTCCCATGATGTCTGTTTTACTTCTGTCCTCTAAAGGAGAGTACTTTAGTGTCCAATTAAGAGAAACCAAGCCTGTCTTCTACTTCTGCGTTTACTTAACAGATCTCCTGCTCTGGGCTTCTTAAGGCAGCTTTAGGTAAACAAGTAACTTACTGAAAATATTCTTTTTCACTGAAGACAAGGTACAAAAAAGAAAATTTATAGTGTGTGAGCAAGAGAGGCTGGACTGAGTGAGGGGTCGCTGGACAAGGGCTTGGGCCCGCCCCATGAATTCCCACACCTGATGTCAAGATGAGCCCAGTTCTGGCAGGGATTGGTCCTAACCACACCTCTTCTTCTATTCCCAAATTATCTTCCTCAGGAGCCAGGTCTGGAAATAAGCAGAATGTCAGGAGAAAGGTCTGTGATTGACCAGGCTCCTGTTACAATGCCCTCCTCCCAGACTTAGAGCACTGCTCGGAAGATGAATGTGTGTTTGACAATTTCCCATTTTATTACCTGCAGACAAAGAAAAAAAGATATAAATAGGTGTTTCATTACATAAATAATTTACATTACTGTCTTCTTTATGACTATGGAATAATAAAACTAAATCAAGAGCAATAACGATTTCAGCAGAATGGTTCCTAGGCAAAATTTGGTACTTATACTCACTCTGGATACCCAACAAATAAAAAACCAAGTTGAGCATTGGGAGACACTGAAATTTTTCATCAAAATTTTCACAGAATTTTCAAATGAAAAATGTATTAAAGCTGGTGTGGTGGTGCACACCTTTAATCCCAGCACTCAGGAAGCAGAGGGAGGTGGATCTCTGTGAGATTGAGGCCAGCCTGGTCTACATAGCAAGTGCCAGGCCAGGGATACCCTGTCTCAAAAAGACCAAAAAGAAAAAAAAGGTGTATTAAGCTGCTTCTCCCTCCGTTTATTCCTTTCAATACGAGTGCCTATGACAGATAGCCATCACGGAGATGCCCCCTTGCAGATCCATTCTTGAAAGCCCAGGCTGCAGAGCTTATTGTGGGAAGCAGATGGGAAGGAATATACCCAAGAGCCCTAGTCCTCAGTTTGTCTCTCCCAGGCATAAGTCACCTTTCATCACACCTAAACAATCACAGCTGGGAAACTTAGGGAAAGAAAAACAAGGCAGAGATAAATATGAAGGCCCAGCACTGGTAGGGACTGGGGGAGGCTGCCCGGGCCATCCCGCCGCTAGTCATTCCCGGTGGTTGCCAACCTCTTCTTTGCAGAAGGAAATGCTGCAGCCTCCACTTTCAGGGTAATTGTGGGGATGCTGTAATGTTCCCAGAGTAGACCCTGGGTGTGGGATGCTAGGGAAACCCAAGAAAAGCACCTGGGTTTTTTTTGTTTGTTTGTTTGTTTTTTTTTTTTGTGTGTGTGTGTGTGTGTGTGGCTTAGGTACAAAAATTGGTCATTCTGTGACTCAAAGTTCAGTCTAGGATATCCAAATAGCATCTTAGTTTTAGTATTTGGTGTTTGTGGTGTCAGACCTGTCTCTCTCTGCATGGATATTGTGAAGGTTTTCAATGTTTCTTGGGATTTGTCTTAGTTCATCATTTGCAGTTTTCTGATGGGCCCACCTCATCTACGACTTTTCCAATATAATTATCCCCACTGGAGTATCATTCTGGGTTACTGCATAGGAACTTCATCTATCATCTGCATCCCTATGTATATAATTTATCGACTGATCATCACTCCAGGGACACTTAAAGAGGTATGTGCACCTAATGTGTATATGTGTGTTCAGATTGATAATTGGGGTGATAACAATTTTCTTGATGCATTTTAAAATATATGTCTACATGAAATCCATCAGAAGGCTCTCTCCTTCTTATGTATTTATAGAGCTTCACCTATATCTTTGAAGGTGATGACCTCTAATGGCTGCCACTAATCATCATAAGGCACCTCCCAAATACAGTGAGGAAAGAGTGAGCTGAGCTTGGTGTGATTGTACATGCCTTTGATCCCAGCACTCAGGAGGTGGAGGCACAAGGATCAGGAGTTCAGGGCCATTGTCTACTACATAGTCATTTTGAGGCCAGCCTGGGTTATGTGAGACCCTGTCTCAAAAAAAAAAAAGTGAGCTGATTCTTCAGGTGCACTGCAGTGTTCATGTATTGCGCTGCCTCCTGCTTGTCATTGGACAAGGACAGCATATCTAGAGCCAAACAGACTTTAAGTGGAGATTATGGTTTAAAAATTCTCATTGTAATTTTTCTAACAGCTACTATTTCAAAATTCATCACAAAGTAAGGATGTTATAGTATCAGTTTTAGCTTAAAATTTTTATCCATCCAACAAAGTTGGATATCAAAGTTTTATCTCAGGCTATGAGAACCCAAATTTTTTTTCATGACAGAAGAAATGATAATTTCTGTATGAATATCACTATAAATTTAAAAATAACAGTACCTCACAATTTGTATAAGAGTGCATCCTAGCTGAGTAAGGTGGCACATGCCTTTAATCCCAGCACTCAGGAGGCAGAGGCAAGCAGATCTCTGTGAACTCAAGGCCAGCCTTGTCTACATAGTGAGTTCCAGGCCAGCTGGGGCTACAGGGTGACCCTGTCTCAAAAAGACAAAAAAAAAAAAAAAAAAAAAAAAAAAAAAAAAAGTTAGAGACAGAATAGTAGCCATTTTTCACCTGATGCTGCCAGAGTTCATGGTTCAGCTACTAGAATTTCCAACCATGTCACTTCACATCAGTAGAGTCAAAACTTCTTTAGCTATTTGTTATTTGTTTATTTGTGCTTCTTGCCACAGTAATAAGGGCACTGTGGCAGAAGAGCCTGAGAAGTGGTTACTTCTTAAGGCCATTGTTGGTGCTTTTGCTGGGGAGGTGCTCAAAGGTGATGGGTAGCATCTGGGGAAAGCCAGAAGGGATTCTAACCTTTTGTAGCCTGAGAGCCCAAGCGGACAACTCCATGGGCTCTAACAAGTAAAGCTCAGACATGAGACCATCACATTAGCATGCCTCAGACACTTCATAAAAGAACGTGAGACAATTAAACATTTTCTGAGAACAACTGGATTCATCTCTTTTTCCAAATAGAAAAACTAAATTCAAGAAGAAAACTCAGTTCTTTCTAATTTTCTATCCCCGAAACAGTCAGATCATGATCTTCTCCTTCCAAAGGGAATCTTACTGTAATACATTCTCAGACTCGGAGTCACTAAGTTCATTCCCAGTCTATCTTTTCAATTTGAGATGATCTATGAGCTCCATAGCTTCAAACTCAAAGGCCCAGGTCAATGGTGGGATTCTAGGTTAACAAATGTCAGTATGATTTTGTCACAGACTACACCCCCAAATCCTATCCAAGTTCTCTTTCTTGCAAATTTTCACGGTTGGTCACAAGGGAACACCACCCCAAGGAGTTACATAGGTAACAGAGCTCTCAGCCCCATTGGCAGTAGAGGGAAGACAGGGCCACCCTCACGACAGGCCAGATGGGGAACAGTAGGTTTTTAAGAAGCAGCTGATAGAGCCTGAGGACTGAGAGAAAAGGACCGAGTCAGCTAGGAAAAACCACTCACTTCCTCTGGTCCTTGCTCATCTTTAAGTGCTCATTGGACTATAGTGTGTCCTCAAGAGCAATAGTTTCACAGAACATCACTAGTGCTGGGGTAAAGGTTAAAGTATCAGAAAATTTATTGGAGAATACTAGATTAAGGCAAATTCAACAGGGTTTTTGTTTTGTTTTGTTTTGGGGGGGCTTTTTTTTTTAGCATAAGAGTTTTCATAAGTGTTTACGCTTCCCATGTTTTGTTTGTTTCTTTTACCAAGTGCCCCTGGGGGAATAGAGACTTGGGGGGTGGGTGGTTGAGGAAGTTTCTTTTTTGAGATAAAATCTCCCTATATAGCCCAGACTGGCCTGAAACTCCCAGTGATCCTCCTGCCTCAGCCTCCCAAGTGCTAGGATTACAAGGTACATGACACCACACTTGGCTGGGATTCTAAAAATAGTTCTTTGTTAATGAACAAATTTTGTGTACAGAAACATTCTATCTGTGAGGAAGAGAGGCCTCATAAAATTTTTGTTAGTTTTAAAAAAAATACAGAGGCCAGGCATGGTCACACATGCCTTTAATCACGGCACTCGGGAGGCAGAGGCAGGTGGCTCTCTGTGAGTTCGAGGCCAGCCTGGTCTACATGGTGAGTCCCAGGCCAGCTGGGGCTGCAGGGAGACACTGTCTCAAAAAGACAAAAAAAAAAAAAAAAAAAAAAAAAAAAAAAAAAAAAAAAGACAAAGAAAATGTAAACTTAAGAGAAAGAAATTACTAAGCTCCCTTTGGCACTAGCCAGATACAGATGCTCCTGGATTTATAATGGGATTAGATCCTGATAAACCCATCATAAATTGAAAATATCATTAAGTAAAAAATACAATTAATACTTAACCTCCTGAACATCATAGCTTGGCAACACAGCACACTGTGCAGTATCAGTTGTTTCCCCTTGTGATGGCTTGGCTCACTGGGAACTGTGGCTTTCTGTCTCTGCCCAGCATCAGGAGAGAGTAGTGTTACGAGCCTGGGAAAAGAGCAGAATTTAGAATATAGTTTCTACAGAATGTATATCACTTTTGCATTGTCACAAAGAAAAAAAAAAAGTTGCATTAACCCATTGTGAGCTGAGGACATCTGTACAAGTCTGCAGTGTGTGGAGTGAGGTTCCATTTACTGGATTAATTTGTAGGATATCACACACATTTGCAGCCTAGAATTCTCAAGGTTGGAGTCCTTCACTGGCTTAAGTCATTGTTGTAAAAAGTCCTAACAACCCACACAGAGATACAGATACTGGAAGATGGTCCCTACCGAGAACATGTTTATGAATGAGGATGTTAGCAGTGGTCCACTTCTTTTTTTGAGTCAGAGTCTCCCTGTAGCCCCAGCTCTTCTGGAATTCACTGTGTAGACCAGGTTGACCTTGAACTCACAGAGATCCGCCTGCCTCTGCCTCCTGAGTGCTGGGATCAAAGGCATGTGCCACCACGTCTTGCTTTAAAGGACATATTTATAAAAGGATCAAAATGTACAATTTGTAGATTTCATTAACTATGAGAATGGGGCTTTCTCAATTTTATAGACTCTGCTCCTTAAAGAAAAATAAATTCTTAGAACCAGAAAAACAAAACAACAACAAAAAATTGAATACTATTACGTAGTTTTTCAATGTAAAATAAAAGGAACAGTAGCAAAGCTTCACTTCATGATCAGTAAGTCAAAAGATACTTTCAGATCCAATGGTCTCTGCTTGCCAATAAGGGTTTGCCATCAAAAAATTTTGCTAAGAAACTTAATAAATAAAGATTTTTCTAAGCTTCTGTACATTGCTACTGTTCCTGCTGTTGTCCTTCTCCGCCCTCCCTCTCTCCCTCTCTCCCTCTCTCCCCTTTCCTTCCTCTTCCTTCCCTCACCTCCCTTTCCCTCACTTCTTTCTCCCTCTCCCTCCCCTCCCCCTCTCTCCCCCTCCTTCCCTCCTCTTCCCTCCCCCTGGCTCCCTCTCCTCCTCCTCCCTTCTCCCCTTTTTTCTCCACACCCCTGAGCAGTTTCATGTGTCTCTGATATTAAGGGTAGCTTGTATACTTCAAATCGAAGCCCAAATATTTTTCATATCTATCTTACAGCTTCTGTGCACCACTGCCATTTAATCCCCAGCCTCCTCTCTGATGTGGGCATGGCTTCACTGTAAGACAGTTAGAAATGATTGTTTCAATGCTCACATCCTTTTACATTTAGCCATGAGATGATTTCAGTCTTCGTAAGTGGACTCACTGATTTGGTAGCATCCTGTCCATTGCAAAGTCTCATGGCTCTGGGCACTGTGGCTGAGGGAAGGGAAGATTGAAATCTGCAGTCTGTCTGCTCCCCAAGTCCTGTGTAGCTACAGGAAAACTTGTTTATTTAGAGAAAAGATCATCTTTTTCCAAGCTACTCAAAACCGTGATACAGGCCAGCCAGGGTTCTACTGAAGGCATACGTTCTCCCATTAGTGTTATGATATTATTCCTGGTTTACAGATGCTTATAGTTCTTGACTATCCCATTTTTGTTATTTCGTCTTATTTTATTTTATTTTATTTTATTTATTTATTTTTCTTTTTTGAGACAGGGTCTCCCAGTAGCCCCAGCTGGCCTGGAACTCACTATGTAGACCAGGCTGGCCTTGAACTCACAGACATCCACCTGCCTCTGCCTCCCGAGTGCTGGGATTAAAGGTGTGTGCCACCACTCCTGGCTCATCTTTTGTTTCTAAGCTTAGTACCAAACCCAGGGCCTTGCACTGGCAAGTGCTCTATCACTGAGCTAAATCCCCAACCATTTTTGTCCATATTAGAAGATAAATTGGGAGTTTCTTTTCTTAAAGAAGACCAAGGAGCCTATCCCAACTTATTATTAAATGTCATGGAAATGCTATTCAAGTGTGTTGTCTTAATATGAATGTTGAAATAGCCTTTCAAATTACAAGACTGTATAACATTGTATTTTCTTCCCAACAGCGCATCATTAAAAGTATTACTCCAGAAACACCAACAGAAATTCCCTGTGGGGACATTCACTTGAATGCTGTGTAACAGACACCAATGGGAGGGAAAGGCTTCCCAGTCACCTCTTTCATGTCCCACCTTGCTTTCTCCCCTCTAAGTTGAATGAGTTTCCAGCCAAGCCTGATGATGGAAAGTCCTTCTTCATGGACATGCAGTCCTAAAAGACTATGGTGCCCAGACTCTTGTGGCTTCCAACCACTTCCCTCCATGAAAACTCCTGGACATATTTGCTACATTAGATGGTGACACAGTTGAACTGGCCTCTTTTGGACATGTGGGGGGGTGTATTGAGGTGATGAAATCTACCCAATCATCAGTTAGCATTAGTTTTAGAATTAAGCCTGTGAGAGTCTCCTGTATCTTTGTTTTGGTGTGATCATGTTATCTGACATTTGTTTGCTTCTAAGACTTCATTGTTCATGAATCCATACATCTAGGAGAAATACAGGGATGTCTTGCTAGCCATATATTTTCTGAGCAGCATAGAATTCTATAGCTAGAATCTAATAGAGCCTTCTAACCCATGTGCTGCTGTGGAATCAGGAAAGGAAAACATAAAGATGCTAAACTGAAAAATAATGCATCTGTGTCTGTACAGTGTTGTGTCTGTGAACTCTTATCTTATTCCCAATACTTTGAGTCCATTACAAACTATATAAACTTGCCCTAATTTTTCTTACATTAACAAATGCTGTCTACTCAAATGTGAATGTGTCATTATTTGAAGAGTACAATGACTACAGCACACTTCTTTTCTCGTGACAATACCTATATACCTTCCTTTATGGGCCAGCTTTTGGTCATCTTTTTGCTCCACTCTCTCACCATCTTCCTCTCTGTTAAACATTCAGAATAGGGGCTGGAGAAATGGTTCAGCAGTTAAGAACAGCAACTGCTCTTCCAGAGGACCTAGGTTTGAATCTCAGTACTCACATGGCAGCTAACAACCATCTGTAACTCTAGTTCCAGGGAATCCGATGCCCTCTTCTGACCTCTGCAGGCATTGCACACATAGGTGCACTTACATACAAGCAGACAATACACATATACATAAAGACACTCATACACATAAAATATAAATATATTTAAAAACATTCAGGATAAAGTTCCATATGAAAGTCCGCTTTATTCTAGTCACTGTAGCAACTACCCTTAAGATGAATGTCATCAGATGCAACTTCAGTTCCCGCGGGATATATGGTTTAAGCTCTACTTCAAATGACTGAAGAGTTTGTTACTTTGTCCTGAGGCAAGAGAGCAAACAGATTCCCTCTTAGCTATAGGCCTATAGGTCTAGTGCTATGTATGACTTAAGCCACAGGTCTCCTCAACCCAAGAGCAATTGGAGAATCTGGGTTAGCTTTAAATTACTTCCCTCTCTGTCTTGGCCCTTCCTAGTGATCATGGTTATGAGTTTTAAGACAACTTTCAAGGCTAAGTCTACAGCTGGTTGGGAAATGGTCAAGTGAATGACCTTTTATTTATACAAACCATTTACTACAGATAAGTAAATTTAGCCTTTGCTGGCTTGAGAAAGGCAAACTTTACCTTGTGGGTGAAAATTCCTTATTCTTGAAGGGAACAAATGACAAAAGGACTTACTTATCTGGCTCCATATAATTTTAGTCTTCCAGATAAGATTTAATTTGAGGGCCAGGCATGGTGGTGCACGCCTTTAATCCCAGCACTCAGGAGGCAGAGGCAGGCAGATCTCTGTGAGTTCAAGGCCACCCTGGTCTATATAGTGAGTTCCAGGTCAGCTGGGGCTACAGGGAGACCCTGTCTCAAAAAGACCAGAAAAAAAAAAAGATTTAATTTGAACAACTTCATAAAAAGCAGGTCCAAGCTAGGCATGGTTGAAGCAGGAAGATCATGAGTCTTGGGCCAACCTGAGTTACGTGGAGAGTTCAAGGCCAGCCTGGACTACATAGTGAAACACTGCCTTTAAAAAAAAAATCAGATCTATATACCAGAGGTCTATATTTATCCCATAACATCTTTCTCCCTCGGCTTTGGTCCTTCAACAATCTCTGCCCTGAACGTCTGGTATTCTCTCTACATCTTACTCATTTACTGTGTAACTCTTTGCTTTAGTTTTTTGGTTTTTTGTAAAATATTTTCCATATAGATATTAGTTGCTGAGAAGCATGTTAGAGAAATTTGAACATGTTCATTTACTAACCTGTCTTCATTATGTCACTCTTTCCTGTTTGCTGCCTTGGTTTCGTTCTCTTTACTTTCTTGTATGCTAAAAAGAAAGAAGTTATGTGAGGTGGTAGTGTGTTCAGTGGTAAGTAGTTCTACAAAATGTAAGAGTCCGAATCTTTTTTTTTTTTTTCCTAGAGAGGGTCTCATGTAGCCCAGGTTGATTCAAACATACTATGTAGCCAGGAATGACCCTGAGTGCTAAGATTATAGGCATATGCCACCATGCCCAGGTTCATGCAGTACTGAGGATCAAACCTGGGATTCCATGCATGCTAGGCAAGCATTCTACCAATGGAGCTACAGCTCAGCCTATGAATCTTCTTTATAAAGTTTTGGATATGGGGACTGGAGAGATGGGTCGGCAATTAAGAGCACTCACTGGTCGTTCTTGCAGAGGACCCCAGATTCAAATCCCAGCACCCACATGGATTCTAACAACCATCCATAACTCCAGTTTCAGAGGGTCTGACACCCTTTTCTGTCTTCTGTTGGCACTACATGACACAGGTGCACTTATACATATGCAGGCATAACACACATAAAATAAGTAAATCAAAAAAAATTTTTAAAGTTCTGGATATGCATTCTCTTTATACCAACCCCCATCATCAATACAGTACAGCAACAAGAGATCCTGCCACAAAGTAAGGTGAGAGAACCTATTTCTGAAACGTTGTTCTCTGACCACCACATGGGCTATAGCACATCTACACAAAACACAGACACCACACACACACACACACACACACACACACACACACACACACCTTCAAAAACAAAATTAAAGATGCTAAGACTTCACAGATATTTTTCCAATGGCATTTGAATATAATTTGGTTCATAAAAAACTTTTCAAGATTTATTATTTATTTTTTTATTTTTGAGACAGGAACTCACTATGAAGACTAGGATCATCTTGAATTCACAGAGATCCACTTGCCTCTACCTCCTGAGTGCTGGGTTTAAAGGCATGTGCCACCATGCCCAGCCTCAGCAAAAACTCTTTTATAAAAGAAATACTGAGGGCTGGGAAATGGCTCGAGAAATGGTTTACTGCACAAGCCTGGTGATCTGAGTTTGATCACCAGAACCCACATAAGGATAGAAGGAAGAACCACTCCATAAAGTTGTCCTGACTTACACACATACATTTAATAAATTTTAAAAAATCCATTGTAAACACCTTTTATTTTTTACAATATTTATTTTATTGGCTTTTTGTGTATTTCATACACCTTAATCATATCTAGGGGGCTGGAGAGATGGCTCAGCAGTTAAGAGTGCTGGCTGCTCTTGCAGAGGACCTAAGTTCAAGCCTCAGCACCCACATGGTAGTTAACAACCATCTGTAGCTTCAGTTCCAGGGAATCTGATGCCTTCTTCTGACTTCTGCGGGCAATGCATGACATGGGTGCACTGACACACATGTAGGCAATGCACTAATACACATAAAATAAAAATAATAAAATTTTTAAGTCATATTTAGATCCCCTTCCCTATCTGCACCCACCCTGTAGCCCCACTGAATTTCATGCATTCTGTTATATATGTTAAGGCCTAACAAGTCAAGTTTGTGTCCCCAGATGTTCCTCTGTGTGAGTTCATTCACTGGAGCCTTGTCAACCTATCTAATGTCCTTTCTTAAAGAAGACCACCTCTTCCTCGCCCAACAGTGATCAGCTGCCAATAGTTTCTTAGCTAAGGTTGGGGCTTCTTACCCATGAATTTTTAGATTTCAAAGAATTACTTTAAAAATGCATTCTCACTGGGCGTGGTGACGCACACCTTTAATCCCAGCACTCAGGAGGCAGAGGCAGGCGGATCCTTGTGTGTTCAAGGCCAGCTTGGTCTTCATAGTCAGTTCAGGTCAGCTGGGACTACAGGGAGACCCTGTCTCAAAAAAAAAAAACAAAACATTCTCAGGCTGGAGTGATGGCTCAGCGGTTAAGAACTTGCAGAAGACCCGGGTTTGAATCCCAGCACCCACATGGCAGCTAACAACTGTCCATAACTCCAGTTCCAGAGGATCTTACAGCCTCTTCTGTCCTCCTCAGGCATTGCATGACATGGGTGCACTTACCTACATGCTACATGCAGGCAATACATGCATATACATAAAATAAAAATAAGTAAAATGTTTTTTAAAAATGCATTCTCACAAACTGAAACAACACATCAAAGAAGAAATGGAATTCAAGAAAAAGTGGGCAAAACTCATGCTCAAAGCATGAGGCTGAATTGTTTGTTCCTTGCAGCCCTGGAGACTGAACCCAGGGCGCACACTTGCATGCAAAGCAAGCACTCTTTAATGAGCCACACCCCCAGCCGAGACATCGAAATATAAGAATTCAGCACACCTGAGATATAGCCTTTATTTGCTAAATACATGAAGTATACCAATCTTGTCACTATCTAGTCTAGCTTTCCTCCATTATGATCAATATCGTATATTTTGTCAAGTATATGCCAAAACCCAAACATGGAAAGAAAAATCAAGATCAAGAGGATTTAGGTCCTTTCTTAGCTAGTAGCAAACTGAGTAGCAAGACAATAAAGTCATTCAATTTTATTGGCCCATTTCCTTAACATTAATGAGATAACTACAATACTCAGAGCTTACTCATGTCAGGAACAGCTGACATGCATCCCTTCGAGCAATGCAAATACTAACAATGACAGAAATACTTTTATTATCCCCATTTTACAGACAAGGAAACTAAAGGTCAGAAAAATTATTTTTCTCCTGGCTATTCAGCTAGTTAAGTGGTGAACTTAAGGTTTCTGAGTCTTAGCTCTTAAATATATCATAGTGCTCCATGGACATTTTCAATTGCAAGGTGTCTTAAACTATTTTCTTTTCTCTGTTTTCATCCTTTATTTGGAATACAGGGCAACATTAGTTTATATTTTGAAATGAATGAGCATGGTGATAAAGTGTTGAAAATAAGTATGACTTGAATTCTGAGAGTAAGTGGTTTTCCAGTTTAGAAGTAGGAAAGAGAACAGGTACCAGATCATCTCCAAAGGAGAAAAGAGAACACTACTCAGTGAGCCAAGCGGTTTAGCTCTAATTCACTAAGGTCAGTGCGGTCCTGACCAAACCATCTTCGCCACAGCAAGTCAGAATCTCCAGGACTTCAAAGTAATTGTAGGTACATGAGGGAATGCAACTCCAGATTGACTTATTGTTATGGATGACTATGAAATGTCCCCAGCCCTGAGGTGGTGAAATCTTCAGTGACTGTTGGAACAAGGAACTTTCATGTGCTCCCAGCTATATAAAGTGTATAGAGGCTGGTGTCACCCCTTGAAGACCGTATATTTATACATGCCCATTATGGTCATCTTTTGCATGTTCTGTTTTCTCAATGATAACACCAAATGCACTACAGAGCAAACCAGAGAACCTAGAGTATTAGCCCAAAGGACCAATATAGTAACTTTCCTAGTTGCTGTATCTGTCCATTTCTTGGTTT